GGACCGTGTTTCTCAGACCCAGAGATCCGAACAGCCCAGGCGAAGCCACCGCACCAGTATTAACTCGACCGCCACAAGGGCCGCGACCCTCGCCGGCAGGACCAATTGCACATCCAAGACATCATCAAGGTTCACCAGAACCACCCACCTGGGGGAAGAGCTCCAAGACGGGAATTGGGGCCGACTACACGGCAGTATAGACGAGACCCTCACATGAGAGAGAGAGAGAGAAAGAGAAAGAGAGAGAGAAATTTCTCTTAGGACACGTGAGAGCCTATGAGTAGATTCGAAAAACAAAAACTCATAAAAAATTCCAGGGTGTTTAGAGTTTTGTTGTCTTCCTTTTTAGAAGTGTTTTGGGTGTAGGCAATTACCATTGGCGGTCCGTGTAAGTCTAAGGGGATTTGGGTCCAAGTTTTGCTCTGGTATTTGTGATGTCAGTTGACATTCCTGGTGTACTCTTTTTTCGAGTTTTATTTATTATTGTTGTTAGACGAAAAAAAAATACTTACATGTCAATGTGAAAAACGAAAAAACGATGCATAAAAAAACTGAAGTAAAAGATAAATATGTACCACCATATGAAAATTGTGAGGCTCGTAAAAACATAATTTGTAATGTTTATTAAAAATAAAAAGTTTAATTCTTAAGAACATAATTTGTTATGTTTAATAAAAAAAATTAAAATCTTAACTCACTCGTGCACCTTAATCAACAATGCATTTTAAGATATTCAGTTGTCACACCCACAATAAAATTTGGTTCGAACACCATAAAAAATATAATAGTTGAGAAATTCCAATTGTGAAATCAAATAAGGACATCAACGCACACACCTAATTTAATTTTTTATTTTCTTATTTGCGAGACACATGTCGTCTTTTCATTCACACCAAAATTAAGATAACGAGCCAGGTACATAATAAACGTCTGAGTGTTGTTTTATTTTTATCACAAGCCTCAATTTGCAAAATCGAAAACACCGGCTTTTTATGGTTAAAATAAAATGTTGGAATTAAATAGCAATCAAAGTATAAATGATTATTTAATTTGCAATTTAGCCTATTTCCACACATCTTTCATTCTTTTTGTGAGTTGTTTTTTAATTTGTATTATAAATTAAATACTAGCTGCAACATTAATCGCCTCAGGTGTCCTTCTAAGCATCAGTTGGACGCCTTCGATTTGTAAATCGGCCTTAAAAAAACGGTCACATGGTTTGGCGGCGCCTAGGCACGCTCCTAGACGGGCATGACGGCTAGGAGGGGCTAGGTGCGTCTCGGGGACGTTGGGCGGGCCTCGAGGCAAATTTCCAATTTAATTAATACTAATTCTAATATTTGTTATCATGTTTTCTTTATAAAATATTAATATTATTATGTGGGTGTATTTTTTAAAAGTTGAGATAGTTTTTTTTTTTGTTTTTTGAAAATAAGTAAAACAAAAATGCATTTAATATTATTTTTCTAAGCTCCGCCTAAGCACCTAGCTACTTACAGAACATTGCTCTCTCTATATATGATATTTTATGAACTTACAATTTTATAGATAAATATTTGGTTTCTTAAGTCGTTCATCTGGATTTTTATGAGTAATTATTGTCACTTTTAAAGTTTAAATTTATAAAATACTTAGGTAAACTAAATTCTAATCATTTTTAAAATTTAATAAACCTTTTTTATTTGTTGTCATTTTTCATATATTACGTATCATATTAATTACTTTCACACTTTTTATTTACTAGTTATATTGTCTATATAAAGTTAAAAATAATTATATCCACACATCTTAATAAGAATTAAAATTACTGTTATTTATAATTAAACAATAAATTTATCATTTATCACTAAATATAACTTATTATATCTCTACATAACAAAAGTTATAAGATAATTTTTTTAAAAATTTTAAAATAAAAACTTTTGTTATACTTATACTTGATGTTTTCAAAAAAAAAAGTATCAATCACACAAACGGGTGTTATTTTTAAGTTTTAACCCATGATCTCCTATCATATTTTATATGGAAACTTGAGTACACATCAAAAGTCTTTCACCACAAAAATTCAGCCTCCTAAAAAGAGATCTCAAATACATCGATTGAGACAAGTGATGAAACATTAACATTTCATAATTTAAATGAACACACCAACCCTTACATTATTAACCGACAAAACCACACCATAAAGCAAACAAAGCACACACTCCCAAAAAAATAAAAATAAAAAAATTTAAGAAACACACACACACAGCAAGCAAATCCCACCAATCCATATCAAAACCCCCAATCTCTCATCTATGCTTGCTATGACGTTCCCTTTCCCTGTCCCTTGACCGCCGGCGGTGCTCCTCCTCGGCAGGAGGCGGCGGCGACTCGTACCTCGATGAAGAAGAGCGCCGCCTCTTGAAATGCCTCTCGTCATCACTGCTGTCATTGTCCACCGCCTCATGGTGGTGGTGGTGTCCGTTCGAGGGGTGGTGGGGCACCGCCCTCTTGCCGGAGGAACCTGTGGGGCATGCCGGCGCCGGAGCCGAAGGTGGCTTTTTCCTCTCGTTTTCCGGGAAGCTGATTCGGGAGAAGACGCTTGGCTTCTGCTTCCGATCGGCCGCAGATGAGGGAGGCGCCGGAGGGGATTCCGAGTGCCGCTGCCGGCTGCGGTTTTGATGGGGGTCGGGAGATGGGTGGGTCTCGTGTTTCTTCTTGGAGGACGGGCGTGAAAGCTCCGGCGAGTGTCGGTTATGCCGATGGTGGTTGTCGGAAGGTGGAGGCGGGTTCGGTTTCTGTATTGCAACTTTGTTACTCAAAAATCACCCCAAAAACAAAAACAGAAAACACTATCTAAAGTATTGAAATGTGTTGGAAGTTGGAACACAACCCATATCAGACTACATACAAGAGGACAACTGAAAATAAAGTAGTTCGATAGTTAAAGATACATACGAATTTGGATCGCGAAGTCGCATAGCCTGTGCTGCTCCCTTCTCTCCCGTATTCTCCATCTCTATGAATTTGTCTGGGGTAGAAGGAATATATATATTAGTGTAGAAATTACAATAGTAAAATTGGTTGGAACTTGGGAACACGCACGTCAGCTTGACCAACAACCGGGAAAAAAAAAAAAATTATCTTCACATCAGCATCTAGCCAAAGAAGACAGCTATTTTTGGAATAAAAATGAACAGTCAAAATCTAAATGAGATACTGAGGGAAAGTAAAACAGGCAAAATGTTGTGACAAGAGAGAGTTGATTCGATTCAGCTTACCTTTCATTGCGTCTCTCCATTTCACGTTTCCTCTTCAGATCAGCTTTGCGGGCTTCAAATTCCTCTCGACTCATGATGGGTGGCCCCGAGTTAAATCCCACGGCCAACTCGGCAAGGTCCCTGGAAATCCATTAAAAATCAGACTCAAAACTCCCCAAGATCAATCAACAAAAGCTAACAATCACCAGAAGCAGACAAATAAACAAACAAAAACGTTCAAATGGTATAGTAGAGAGATTATTAAACACGAAATGAATCCACACCTCTGAGGCTGAGGAGGGCCATAAGGAAACATACAGCCAGGTCCTCCAAATGGATCATGTGGTACAGCACCAGGAAATGGAACTTCCATTGGATTAAATCCGTAACCCATGTATGGTGGCATGGGACCACCATATGGAGGAGGCATGAATCCATCCAGTCCAGGTTGAATGCCATTCCAGTAAGGATTAAAAGCAGAAGGGCCTAACGGCATCATATAATTCTCGGGTACAAGTTCTTGTGCATTTCTCCATTGCATATCTGGAGCTGCAGAGCAATTACAAATTATGAGATGAAATGGCTTCATGTGATCCATGTTTGAGTTGGCACATGTGCAAAAAAAATAGTCAAAATTGGGTCTGATCCGGCTCAAGCATGTCATGAACCCAGGCAACAGCTAAAAGCATCAATAAAGCTCAAGAACTTGCAAAAACTAAAAGCTGTGCACCTAAGTGTCAGTAGCATCAAGATAACCTATCATGACATGTATAGTAGAATAAATTCACAAAAAGAAAAGTCCGCATATGAGAGAGGGATACGATCGTACCACCAGGAGGCATCCGAATTTTCTTCTTTTTCTTCTTCTTTCCTATAAAACCAAAAGAAAGATGGCAATTCAAGGATCAGCCACATAAGGGGCAACAGGTAAATATTAATTACACTTTTACAGAATTTCGGTTACCTGCTTCCCCAGAAACTGGTTTCTGTTGTACCTCTTCATCAGCCAAAGGACCACTCCCCCGTGAAGCAGCTTCTTTAACTGTTCTTGAGTCATGTGTAGCTTCTGAAACATCAGGCACATCTATACTTCTCCCCTTTACCTGTACCAGGTGCAGATTCGACGCCTTATTTTCTTCAACAATATCTCCAACTTTCGGAGTATCCTCCCTTTGAGGTGGTGGAGCAGACATCTGCTGTCCTTTTGAGGCAACCGACTGTGTAGGGGATGGAACCTTAGCTTGTGGATTGCGAGATTCCATGTCTGCACCAAAAGAAGAGAGAATGATTATTGTAAACGAATCAGTTGAATAGCACACCCTTTATGAATAAAAAAAATGATATATATAACAAGACCACTGATTTAATACGGTACAAACCTTGGACTTGAAAAGCACTCCCACCATTTTCAGTGCTGTTATTATTGGATTCTAGAATCCGGTTAATAGTATCGCGTAACGTCTTGTTAGGCAACAGATCATCTGCGAGAATATTTGTGGCCCCGCACACACACATTGATTTGGATATGATGTGATCTCTTATACCTAAGGACAGACAGATCAGAAATCGTGATGAATCAACTGTGTTAAGAGAAAATCAAGGATAACAAATTCAATGAGAAACATGACATCTTGAATCGTTTATGCCCAACCAGCCAACCCACAACCCTCATCCTCAGTCCACAAATCAGTATGACATAATGAAAATGCAGCTGATAATCATGTGGCATAGGTAAAAAAAGTTCCAATGTACGTGGCATCTTACATCTATCACAAAAGCTAGTAAAACAACACTTGCTCGTAAGAACAGCATCCTTCATAACTTCTTTACAAAGAGGACAATGCAGTTCTGGAGGGAGATCACCAACAGAACGCGTGGATGGCATTCCCTCAATCTCTTTCTCGAATGCAGCCCTGTAACGCTCAACTAGTAAGAACATATAGATACATTTTGGAAAGTATTTACAAAGATGATTGGTAAAGATAGATTTACTCATTTGGTTTAAGAACTGCCACGGCTCCACTTGGTAGCGCATACGAGCCATCTGGAGTTGCCATCAACATTGACTTTGGAATTCCAGTAGGAGGTTTGACCCTCTTGATGTCAAAGGTGGGATCACCATTCGTTGGACAGTGCTGAATGAAATGCCCTAAACAAAATAATTCTGATTTTCACTAACATGTCTCTTAAAACTCATCCTTAAATGTTGTTTACTTATTAAATTTCTTTACATACCTGGCACCTTGCATCTGTGGCATATGTAGCCTGGTGGTGGTGTCTTCTTCTCAAATCCACCTCGACCTGAAAATTCAATATATAATTTAAAATAGAGAAACAGAAACATGGAAACACAAAACCTCAGTAGAAACAAGGCTCCAGAACTCTGAATTCAATAGTCCATACAATATAAAGAATATAATGTCCTAGTATCTAATTAACAACAAATGAAACTCTCTGTGTAGAACAAATTTTTGAATAGATGTTAAGGGACTTGAGAATACCAAAACCGCGTCCACCCATCATTCTTCCACCCATGCCCCGTCCAAAACCCCTACCAGGACCAAGGCCATCAGAAGGTTGACTGCCAAAAAAGAACCAAGTCACAAAAGGTAAGCTCTACGAGGCAAAACAGTAACTAGCAAAGCAATAACTAGCAAACCAAATTTTCAGTCACTATTATCCTTATAAACTTCAATTTAAGCAATACAGTTCTCACCGCTGCCAATCTAAGGCTGGAGTGTCAATTAAAGCTTTAATCTTGCTCTCCTCATCATCCTTGCTAACAGGAGCAGCATCCTGAACCGGGATGTTTGACTGAACAGGTACAGTTTCAGGCATCGCGTAGAGGTCATTCCCAAATTCATCCCATTCAAAATCTTCAGCCTACAAGTACAATATATTGAGCACCGTGATGCACTAGGACACTTGAATGTTGATATGAACATGCTGCCACCCACTTATCAATTACTAAAAAATTGGATATTAATTTGTTTTTTCTGGAAAATTAATGAACTGAATCTCACATTATTCGTGGCAGGTTGATATACTCCAGAAACACCACCTTTTACAGCTTGACCATCATCGTAATTATTTTCGACATTAGCCCTACAGTACGGATAGCAATAGAGAATTAAGCACTAAGAAATTCGGCAAAAAAGAACCAGGTAAATTAATAGAAAATAAAAATTTTGTTTCTTGAGAGTGATTGCAGAGTGGCTGTTGTTCTCATGGTCGACTGCTTAAGTCCCACACGCAAACTCGAAAGGTTTAACAGACCCCCGAATCAGTGATTCACGACAAATATGCAAAGTGAAACCAAATACAACATCCGTACTTGAACAAGCACTCTAATTTGCAGGTTTTGAAAGGGTTTTCTAATTACACAAAATTTCTGTTGCCAGGAGACTAAATAAACAAGATTTAGAAGGATAAAGAATATACTCTTCTTGCACGGTAACAGGAGCAGTAACTATGGCTTTGCGAGGACGTCCAGGAACCCGGCGTATTAAAACTGAAGTATTTTTGGGAATTAACATTCCTTCATCGAGATACTCTGAAATAACAAAGAATGAGAAGGGTATAAAGCCCACAAAACTACCATACAAGCTAAACAGAGCACAAACTACTAAGTATCAGTTTGGGATATTATGCTGACATCACCCCCACCAACCCGAAGTACTATCATAATGCACCTCAGTATTCTATTCCCCATCAAAGAAAGAAAAATAAAATTTTTTCCCAAAAAATTTACACATTAGGAAACTAATACCAGACATTTATTGTAGTTAGCCTAAACCACTTCCAACAGATTGTTCAGGCAGATTTTTTCACATGCATTTTACCTAAGAAAAGCTGTTGAGTCTCCAACCCAAAATCCATTTAAACAAAAAACCTGTTCGAGGTAATAACGATGCATAATATGTGATTAACCATTTCACATCAAGTATATGATACTGTTGGACAACATATCAAGAACCAACAGATAAACTTGATGTTTTTAAGGGTGGGGGAACGTCCTAAAATGCGATACACCATGTCCAAGCATGTGCGCAATCAAGAAACACAAATCCTAATCATTTCAATTCTGCACACAAATTATCTTCGGATTTTCGGAGAAATGCCATTTGTTTTAAAATGCCATAAAAAAACCAAAAAATTATCAAAGCTACAAAACATTCCAAAGGGCAACTCCTCAGAACTCCCAAAGGACTCTATACACAATCAACATAGCATCTTTATTTACAATCATCAACTATTCATTATAAAATCTCAAAAAACAAAAATAAATAACAGTCAGTATCAGTCCATTGAGATGACAGATTTTTAATAACTTAAGAGCCAGTCCCTGGCATCCTAAGAGATTGAATTCAAAGAAACTACAACCACCAAGTCTTTTTACCATTACTAACACTTCACATGATCAACAACAGAAAAACTAATATTAACACAAAACGAATTAAAATGTCATAAATCATCAAAGACGCCTCTTTTAAGGATTTTATTCGAAATAAATTTTGCAAAAACCAAAACCAACCTTCATTAGTCTGGGCGTTGGTGACAACAAGGTCAAAATCTGTACCTCTGCCCAAATGCTTTAATTCAAATATTTTTTCTTTCAAGTGTCCCACCGATATAAAGTGACCGTCAATCGCAACTGAATCATAATCTTTAGCACTTTTGAATTTATAATAAACAGCCATAATTCTTTTGAATATTTTTTCTTTTTCTCTCCCAAAGAGAAATAACCACAAACAGATATAAGGCCGTCAAATGATACAAAATCAAAGGCCTGACATTCAACTCAAAATAAAAACCAAAATGATAACAATAACAATAATAGAGGTACAATGAAAACAAAGAAGCTCTTTTTTTTTGTTTCTTCTTTTTCTTGCTCAGGAAAAATAATCAAACCGACTAATGGCCTTCTAAACGCTCAAAGACTCCAAAACAATCAACTTCTGTGCTGGCACCCGTTGAATTTTCCACATAAACGATTGAGCGTCTGGATCTCAATTCCAAACTCCGCCAAACGGCCAGAAATCACACTGATCCAACAGATCAGATAAAACCACCGGAAAACGCTCTCCTCTACCGCCGGAAGGGATCTCCACGTCACCGCCTCCTCCTCGAGCCGCTGAACTCCGCCGAGACTTCTCGATCAATATTTCGAACAAAACCCCAGCCTCTGAATTCGCTCCGAATTGCAGCTTCCACGAATCGATCGCGCGAAAATCAACCGGTAGAACAAACCAGTTGGGGCTCGCCGTCGTCAATTGAACTCCGCCATCATCAAATGGAGATCGGGCAAACAAATTACGGCGCTATGGTCGGATGAAGAACTCGATCGACGTCGGCGAGTGGTGGAACTCGAAAAATCGGATTTCGATCGAAGGGATAATAGGATTGGGGAGAATTAGGGTTGATAGGGTTTCGAGCGAAATCGCAAAGTGTTGTTTGCTGTTGAGACGATAAAAGCGTATGAGGGAACCGTCGTGAGGAACGGCTTTATAGGGAGCATTTTTTGGTCCAAAGTGCAATTATTGTCAAATTAAAACACAAAACGGTCCAAACTGGCCCATTACATGCTTGGTCCATGTTAGCCTTATCTAATACATATATCATTGATATCAAACCTATTAATAAAACATCATTTATTTTTCCAAAAAAAATGTTATAAATACATGTTTATTTTATATTTTTATTTATCTTTTTAATGAAAAACTCAAACAACTCACTAATCAATAAATGTATATAATATATATATATATTTTAACAAAAAATATTATAAAAAATAAATGAGACTGTTTTGATTTTCTACCTTTTTTCGTTACAATCTAATATTTTTTTTTAAACAAATAAGTAATTCAATGTAATGATTAATTAAAGTGTAACTATATTTTTAATTATTCTTTTATATAATAATTATTACTAAAATTAACCAATTATAATTTATACTAAATAATGTATGGAAGTTCAATAAGTCTAACAAATTTTGTAATTTTTTTTATTATTATTATTATTTTTTTTTTGGTGCGAAAATTAACAATGATAATTATATGAAAACACAGTCGAAAATGTTGAGTAATGATATTATTGCTCGAAATATTGATCGTACAAGAAGTCGGTTATACGAATAAACGATGTTAAAGTTTCGGAATTTTTCATATTTCTTCTACCTGTTTTTTTTTTTTTTTTGGGAAAAAGTCCCTTTTTTTCATAATTAATAACGCTATTTATAGTGTGGTTGACCAGTAGTACAAGGTGTGTAATTGCATTTAATACAAAGTAACTTTTTGGAGGCGGTTGTCTGTCAACTGAGCAACAATAATGATGTTTTGATGAAGAATCGCCGCTTTGTAATTCATAGAAAGTTAACTTTCTTAGACCTCGGTTATATATCTCGGCTGGTGAGACTTGTACTGTAAAGATAAGCTCGGTTGGTGTCAGAAATCAACTGTCCCCATTTCTCGTTGTAGGGAAGTGACGTCAGTTATTACCTCATTAAGTCCAATTGTGTTTACTTAGGGCATCGGCAATTGTTAATTTTTTTTCACATTCATTCAATCAAAAAAGTATATTCTCTCTCTTCCACATCATTTCCAAATCACATTTCCACTAATTCTCTCTCCATTTAAACACACATCCACATCCCTACACATTCATTTAAATACAAATATGGGACCCATTATATCAATTCAATCAATATAAATTTTAATATTCTATTCTCAATAAAAATAAAAAATTTAATATTTTTAAATTATAATAATAAATTTTAAATACATAAAAATAAAAGCACACTACAATACCAAAATAACTTAAATTAAGATTACACAAGAAAAAAAATAATACAATTACAAAATATAATATTTTTAGTGTCTAAAATGAGTCCAAATATGCTCAACTAAATCGGCACGAAGTTGATGATGAATTGTGTTATCTCGTATCTCTGAACTTCTACGGATATAATTTTGGGATTGTTGCATAAAAGGAAATTGAGAATTGTGGAAAAAATTGTGTTGGATAAGAAGCTTGTGAAATGATAAATTTGGCGGAGTTTGTGAATTTTGGAATAATGGAAATTCACCAGGATTGTTAGTATTAGAACTTGAAAAATTTTGAAAGTTTTGTCTATTATTGGGATCTATTTTTTCTTTTCAGAAATAAAAATTGCTAAATTTCTGGTGTAGAAGAAATGTAAGAATGAGATATATTTACAGGCAAAAATGATGATAGAAAGTATAAAAAAAA